TGATCTTCAATGGATGAACTGTTTGTTTTGTTTTTCCTTTCCTTTCTTGCTTTTTAAAGTATAAGTTTCTTTACTGTAAGGTAAAGATAAAGGTTCCCCTCGCACATATGTGCTAGTCATTCCCAACTGTGGGGGGCAGTGCTCATCTCCGTTTCAAAGCTGAAGAGCCAGCGCTGTCCAAAGACGTCTCCGTGGTCATGTGGCCAGCATAACTAAATGCCGAAGGCGCATGGAATGCTGTTACCTTCCCACCAAAGGTGGTCCCTATTTTTCAACTTGCATTTTTACATGCTTTCGAACTGCTAGGTTGGCAGAAGTTGGGACAAGTAAGGGGAGCTCACTCCATTAGGCAGCACTAGGGATTCGAACCGCTGAATTGCCAACCTTTCTGATCGACAAGCTCAGCATCTTAGCCACTGAGCCATTGCGTCCCTCATAGTACACGTAGCATAGCACAATCAGAACTGGATCCTAACATAACACTCTTTATAAATAGCCAGAGTGTGGAGGTAGAGAGACTACAACCCTATTTTTTGGTTCTCAAATAAAATGCAAATTGCATGCATGTCAGTTATTGTAGCCCAAGTAGTTGGAAGCACCTAGTTAACCTTGGTTGAATGGGGCAAGTTAAGCATGGTTGGACTTAGTTATTACTTGGATGAGAGACCATTTGGATTAGAGAATTCCAGGGTTGTTGCTTAGGTTAGAGAGCTGAAAAACCATCCCCAGAATTCTGAGTGTGCTTCTACCATGTTTCCCTAAAAATAAGACAGGGTCTTATTTTCTTTTGACCCCCGAAATAAGCACTTGGCCTTATTTTCGGGGAGGCATTATTTTTGAGGTGCAGGTGGCGAGCATGGTCACCTCATAGCTGCTGCTGTGTTGCAATATTTTTGGGGAAGGCTTATTTTCAGGGGAGGATTTATTTTAGCACATGCGCTCAAAAGCCTGATTATTATCCAAGGACTTCTTATTTTCAGGGAAACAGGGTATAATGAATGTACTTTCTAGTCATCTTTATATCAGAGGTCCTAGCATTCACAGAATACAGGTAGTCCTCGACTTATAACAGTTCGGTTAGTGACTGTTCAAGGTTACAATGGCACTGAAAAAAGTGACATAATCATTTTTCAGCATCCCCATGATCATGTGATCAAAATTCAGATGCTTGGCTATTGGTGCATGTTTATGGCGGTGTCCCTGGTCATGTGACCACCTTCTGACAAGCAAAATTAATGGGAAAGTCAGATTTACTTAACAACTGGGTTATTAACTAAGCAGTTGCAGTGATTCACTTAACAACTGTGGCAGACAAGGTCGTAAAATGGGGCAAAACTCACTCAACCAATGTGTCACTTAACTACAGAAACTTTGGACGCAATTGTGATTGTAAGTCGAGAACTACCAGTATGATGAGCCCTCTTGGAGTAAAACAGGTTATTGGTTAGATTAAAAACATGACAAAACTAACCAGCATTTTGTCCTTATCATCAGCAGGGTATAACTAATATTGGCAACTAATACTTTTTATCTTGCTGAAAAGTTTTGTATAAAAGCACCTGTTGAGCATGATGACTAGTGAAAATCAATACATATGAACTCATTTATTGACTGGCATGAAAGAGGAATATAAATAAGGAATAAAAATGAAGCAAAATAGATACAGGTAGTCCTTGACTTACAACCATTCATTTAGTGACTGAAGTGTAGCACCGCTACATAAAGGGCCTTATGATGGGTCCCCCGAAGTTATAGCTCTTGCAATGCTTCACCAGTCATGTGATCAAAATTTAGATACTTAGCAGCCTCTCCCACTTATAACTCCAGGGTGTTTCAACTTCCCCCATGTGCCTATCTCCCCACTCCCCAATCTATGGCTGTCCTTCACTTGCTGTATCTGCTAGCCCAGGTGTCAGCAACCCGCGGCTCCAGAGCTGCATGTGGCTCTTTGACCCCTCTCCTGCAGCTCCCTGCGAACCTGCTCTCCGCCCCGAGACTCTGGCCCGACCCAGTCACTAAACCTGGGTAGGTGTGGCTGGGTGGGTATCATGTGACTGGGTGGGTGTGATGTTGAGTTGGCCATGCCCCCTCAGGTTTTGTGGCTCCCTGTTTTCTTTTCTGTGGGAAACAGGTCCAAATGGTTCTTTGAGTGGTTAAGGTTGTAGACCCCTGTACTAGCCTTTCTACCCACAGTTGATTTTCACTGTCTTCTTTCTTGCCATTGCTGACTAGGTGTGCCCAGCCTGGCCCTTCATGAAGTAGCTGCTGGCTATGTCAATCTTATTCCCAAAGCTGTGCCCGCCCCTTGTCCAAACTGCACATGGCTTTGTCTAAATTGTGTGCAGCCTTCTCATGAGATTTTGGAAAGCAGGTGTATCAAAAGACAGTTATAGCTGCTTCGGTGTGAAAGGACCCTTTGGTTCTACACTTGGTGAGTAGAGGAAGAATGCAAAGCTACCGTTAGTGCTTTCATGATGAACATCATTTCTTCTTGAAAAGTTTAGGGCCCAATGTCTTTAATTTGAGGAAGATTTGGCACTGATTTAGTTAAACTGATTATATTAGAGGAGAGCAAACTTTTCAGACAGGAAACACCACGAAGTGATTTGACATAATGCTGCACATCCCATCCTCCCAAAATGTTAAATTGGAAGAAAATTGGTTTTTTTTGTTTTTTTTTGGCCTTCTTTAATTAAATTTTTTTGCAGAGCCCTGAATGCCATCTAGTGTATCATATATGTAATGGCACCCACCGCTTACAATATTACTGATCAGTAATACAAATTATATGGGAAAATACTGGTAGCTGAGAAATCACCTGAAATGGCAGGGAGGTCTTCAAGTGATTTTTCTGATACATTCTTCTCATCCTCCACAGCTTCTTGTAATTCAGTTTTTGGCTGCAGATTCTCCACCACTTCAGAACTTGGTGCCTCATACATTTCATCTGATGAATCAGCGGCTCCATTTATGCCTAGTTCTGTTCAACCAAAATAAAAAATAGTTGCAACCCATAACGGAAGCTTATTCGTTTAAATAACCGTTCAATTAATGACCTATATGAAATTGATGGACTTTCTAATATACAATTCGGGATGTACTCGGGGCTAAACTGAAAGAAATCTTGGGAGTTTTATGATCAGAGCTTCCCAGGTGTCCCTGGCTGTCCTTATTCATATATGCACCCAAATAACAGATAGGAAGGAACCTTAACTTAAGGGTTACAAAGCACAGTAGCACGCATCAACTTTTGAAAGCAGAAAATTTTCAGAAGGCTTGAAGCTCTAAAGCAGGCCTGTCAAACCGTTGGCCTGTGGGCCAGATGGCGTCCAGACCATTCCCACACTAGCTTCACAAAGGCAAAACATGTCACAATACGGCACAATATGTCACGCGACGCAATTGAGTTTGACACCTGTGCTTTAAAGCATAGCTTTAAAGATGAGGAGAAAAACAGAAATGAGGCCACAGACCATGACAACTCAGAGGAACGAAGTCCTACTGAAATAAGTTTGTAGCCAGTAAGGAATAGATCTACAATTGTCTATTCAAAAACAACTTTCATTGTTTGTAATGTATCTTATTCCCCAGTAAATGTAGAAACAAAGAATGTTCTGTATTTTTCAGACTATATGACCACACCTAGATTTACAGGAGGAAAACAATAAAAATTGGGGGGGGGGCTTCACGCATCGCATTTTCGCCCTCCCTGCCCCCCAGAAGCACTCTTCAGTGATTCACATGTCCCGTTTTTGTCAAAAAACATGCCTGTTTTTGGCTTGCAGAATGCTTCTGGGGGCCAGGAAGGGTGAAAACGTGACACGCGGAGGGTTCGGAATCCCAAAAACAGGCCCGTATTCGGTTTATAAGACACACCAAAATTTTCACTCACTTTTGGGAGCGGGAAGTATGTCTTATACTCCGAAAAATACGATAAATAATACTCTCCCAACACAATATTATCAGTCTGTACTATATATAGAAGTACAGGTAGCCTTCGGCTTACCATAATAATTGGGATTGGAATTCCTGTTGCTAAGCAAGGCTGTCATTAAGTAAGCCATGCCCAACTTTACTACTTCTTCTGCAGCAATCATATGGTTGTTAAAATGAATCCTGTGGTCATTAAGACAATCCAGCTTTCCCCATTGATTGTACCTATTGGAAGCTGGCTGGGAAGATCAAATGATCATGTAACACCAGGATGCTGCAAACCGTCATAAAATGCATGCTGGTTGCCAAGTATCCAAATGTCCATTGTATGATCCCGGGGACACGATGACAATCTAATTGCAAGCACCTATCATAGGTCACTGTTTTCAAGGCTATCGTCACTTCCAATGGTCACTAAAGAAATGGTTGTAAGTTGAGGACTATCTGTAAGCATAGGCCAGAATCGATTCAGTTCATTGATTCAAGACTGCTCATTTCCTTTCCTGTTGAAAATTTAAGCCGTTTATATTTGTAACATATAGTTACGCTCGTAAGTTTAGGTAATCTTTGCAAAATGACTTCTTTTCTTGCTATAGTTTGTTTAATGAGTATGCTATTCTGTGATGACTTAGTAGCTAACTCTGAATCACAGTAGAAATGAAAAAAGGGGTTGGTTGATTGCTCGTTTACTTACAAAATGCTCGTCCGCATCTTACAAATTTTACAAGGGGTCTGTAAACTCACGGGCCCAACTGCACCTCTGTCTTCTCAACACGATCCTAAACTCTTTGTTTTAAACAGCAGCCCTGTGGAGCAAACCTCCCTTAAGCGACAAGCAGCGAAAGCAACACCATCACCACACAAACATTTACCAAAACGTGAACATGCGCCAAAGCTCATGAAATTATATTATTACCATTTGGGTGCCCACTTATGTAAGCAGCCATGTCTGCATGGTCAGCTCCCCTCAGGGCTTCTAGAAAGGGCGAGAACCAATCTTTCTTCTGTATTATCCTATGGAGCATTTCTCTCACTGCCGATTTATTCCCCTCTTTATCCTTTTCGACGACTACCTGTTGTAGGAAAAACAAAGAAACATGTTTGGCAAGACGCTTCACAATGCATATCAGTGTTTTTTCTTATTGTCAAATACGGGTAGTCTGCGATTTATGGCTACATCTGGGAGTGGAACGTCTGTCACTAAGAGAGGGAGTCATCCCAGATTTTACGACTGTTTGGCCACATCGTCAAGTGAATCCTGTATTTCTTAAGTGAATTGTGGGATCGTTACCAAATCCTGCTTCCCCATTAACGTTTCTTGTTAGAATCTGGCTGGGGAGGTTATAAATGCAAATTACGTGACCTTGGAATGCTGCAACCACTGTAAATATATGCTGGTTGACAAGGGCCCGAATTCGGATCACATGACCGCGTGGATGCTGCAATAGTTGTTAAGTTACTTTGTCCAGCACCGTTTCACTTTCAATGACCGCTAAATGAGTGGTATTAAGTATCTGGGGATGCAGACAATTAACAATTTGACTAGGTCTCTTCATACACTATCTATCAGCCCTCAGGCTGCCATCCAGGGGGACCCTCTCCATCACCATGCCCGCTCGGTCATGCTTACATGCCACTAACGCTGCCACGCTGATGTTGCCTCTCTGATGTCGATTGAGCCTGTAGCTGCATGTGGCTCTTCTACTCGGGTGCAACTGCTTACTCTGATGTAACTCTTTTGCTTGGATGGGGCTAACCAGGAAAGAGGCTATGATGACACTGAGTGGGGGTGTGGCTGAGGGTGTGGGTCATGGTGATTGGTGATGGTAGGTGGGTGTCATCTGGGTGGAGTTGTGGGTGGGGCTGGGTGGGGTAATGGTATGTATGTATGTATGTATGTATGTGTGTATGTATTTAGTGTCACAACCCCTGGTATGCCCAAATATGGGAGGAAGCCTACTNAACAAAAACGAAATGTACAGGTACAGTATAGGTGGTATCTTGTTCAGTAGTAGTAACTGTGAGAGGGATCTTGGAGTTCTAGTGGACAACCATTTAAATATGAGCCAGCAGTTTGCAGCAGCTGCCAAAAAAGCCAACACAGTTCAGTTCTAGGCTGCATAAACAGAGGGATAGAATCAAGATCTTTATTGGCAGGCAGAGGGAACATCTAGATGGCACCACGTACAGTGTTATTTCTGGCTGAAAAGCCAGTTGCATTCCTTTCTGAAAGAAAAGGATCTTAGACTGGGGCACACAGGCAGATCTCAATACGGGATTGCCTTTGTATCACAAAGTACTCTTCTGTATTACTTTTAAAGCTCTACATCCATTCCTCGTATAGTGAATACGAAGATAGTAAAAAAAAAATCATTTTCAGACCAATGCACACATTTACAGTTAAAACTCTTACACATAACAACAAAGCAAGGTGGAGAATAATGTTGCTACGGCTGTATGAGAGAACTTTATCTGAGTGAGACAGTAGCATCCAGGCCTCAAAGCCCTTCATGGTCATGAGGCCAGATTATCTGATGGATTTATCCCGGATTTTTTGGAGTATAAAACACATCTTTCTCCCCCATACACAAAGAGGGTAAAAATCTGGGTATGTCTTATACACTAAATATAGCATTTTTGGCATCCCGAAACCCTGCCCCCTTCGCAAAAATGGACGTGCATAGGCTTTGGGAAGTGCTCCTGAAGTTAAGCGAGATATTGGCTGTGTGTTTTGCCCTATTTTATTACTTTTCTTCCCACCGTTGTTAAATGAATCACTGCAGTTGTTAAGTTAGTAACAAGGTTGTTCAGTCAATCAGGCTCCCCCACTGACTTTGCTTTTCAGAAGGTCATAAAAAGTGGACTACATGAGCCCAAGACCCTGCACCCGTCATAAATACAAGTCAGTTGCCAAGTATCTGGATTCTGATCATGTGACTGTGAGGCGGCTCCAATAGTGCTGTGAAAAATGGTCGTGACTTTTTTTCAGTGCTGTTGTAACTTTGAATGGTTGCTAAACGAACTATTGTAAGTCGAGGACTACCTGTATTTAAAATTATTTCTAAAATCCCTATCCATTTTGCTTGATTTAGAACAGTGATAGCTAGGGTTATGTCTTGCTAAGCCCTGGTTTAATTGGATTATACAGTTTAAATGAGCCAAAGTGTCTAGATTCATGTGTCCTACCAAATTATGAATCATGATTTATAAACTTCCATGGCTGGGCTCAAATCCAAAATTGCAATACATACATCCTTAAAGTCCAGGAGGAAAACTAGGATGCCAGTCTAATAAATAAAAGAAAATTACATATATTATTCCTTGTAAAAAGTAAATGTAAAGGTTTCCCTGCATATACGTGCTAGTCATTCCCGACTCTAGGGGGCGGTGCTCATCTCTGTTTCAAAGCCGAACAGCCAGCGCTCTCCAAAGATGTCTCCGTGGTCATGTGGTCAGCATGACTAAGCACCGAAGGTGCACAGAATGCTGTTATCTTCCCACCAAAGGCAGTTCCTATTTTTCTACTTGCATTTTTACATGCTTTTGAACTGCTAGGTTGTCAGAAGCTGAAACAAGTAACGGAAGCTCACCCCATAATGCAGTGCTAGGGATTTGAACTGCTGAACTGCCGATCTTCTGATCAACAAGCTCAGCATCTTAGCCACTGAGCTACCACATCCCTATAATATATACTATTATATCCCTATATCAGGGATGGCACATGGAGCCATTTGTCAGGGCACGCGAGGCGTTGCATACGCGCGCTGGCCAACTGACTCCAGCCTTTTTTAAAGCCATTTTCCCCTCCCCAGGCTCGAGGCTTTATAGGAGCTTGGGGAGGGCGAAAACAGCCT